CACAATCACCCATAAACAAGTTGGCAGCGCAGACGAGAGTGGTTGCATAAGTGCAGACACGCAGTAATACGAGTACGCATTTTCATACGCAAAGTGATAAAGTTTCTTCATAATTATCTTTTTGCAGAAATTTTATACCGTAAATAGACTGATTTGACAGTGACAGCAGGTGTGAGTTTGTGAAAGTAGATACAGGGTGTCACATAAATTATGTACTAGATTAAAATTGCTATGCATTTTTAAGCGAAATAGTAGATTTACTGTATTTTTCCGTTGCGACTGATACCTCAATGCGGTACACATCATCTTCATACCAGCTTAATACTAGTTCACGTCAAATTTTTACTTTTAAATATTCTATATCCTTTCCGTAACTGTTATATCTCCCGCTCTTGTTCAAGTCCCTCCCTCCGTACACATACTACGCAAGCAGACCACAGTGGCCTAAGATATATATATGTATATGTGTATAATTGGCGCTTATTAACCACTGCAGCGAACTTGCGTACTTTTATTCGAAAGGGAAATTAAGATCCCAAAACTGAACACCCTATCTACAAAGCAATTGACGCGCTTTATCCACTGCCATATTTTTACCTGCAAGTCACATATATTTTGCTTACTTTTTAAACACAATAAATATATGTAAATGTAAATAAGTAATTTGTAACGCTTTAGGTAAAGTAAAAAATTTCAATTTGCGTGCGCGGAAATGGAAAAAGTTTTTAAATTTTTTTTCAGATTTCACTAGTTCACTTCTACAAGTGTCGTGCAGACACACAAAGATTCGCTGAACTTCAATATAAACTTTTGATATAACGATAAAGGGAATTATTATATAAAATAAAAATAAAATAATTAGTTTTTTAAACACAATCATACAAAATGCTTTTTTTTCTTCGACTTCAGCGTTAGTGTTTCCGGAGCCATGTATATTCGTCTCTTCAAATAGTTATTCGATGACCTTTGCGCGTTTTCTAACATCAGATTGGCGATTTTAAATGCAACGACACGATGAGCGGACGAGTGGTTAAAAAAATGTTTGGCCCAAAAACCGGTCATTTAATTAACGTTATCGTGTACCATGATCCGGCCTCCCACGACAAAAGTCTGCTAATGTTTTAAAACAATGGAATGTGTCACTTCCGAGCAGTCTCGCTTTCCTTATATCCACTTGCACATATTAAAAATTTATACAAACACATATTACAATTGGTTTATTTAAAATAGCAAATTCATTTTTAATATTTTCTTCCACAAAATCAATTAAAATGCTTTGATCGGTCGTACAATAGATTGTCAACATACTTTTATTTCAGGAATAGTGATATTTTTGCATGGTGGTTCAAATTCACTCAACTGTGAAAAAAAAAACTGTTAAATAAATGTGCAAAAACATGAGCAATCACATAAAAAGCCGCAAAACTATGAAATGCGCTTACATAAATTTACACATTGTCAGTTCGTTGGAGTTAGAGTTATTATATAACTTGAAAAATATATTCGTATTTCATTGCAATATCTGCAACTTTTTAGTATTATATACATAGTTTTTTATTTTATTTTTTTTTGTGAGCAGTTCATCATGTTCTATGGTCATGGGATTGGCTCTATTGAATATATTTCAAAATAACATTTGTTTGCTAACTCGCAATAAGCCATGACAAAATCCAATTTATATTAAAAAAAGAAGACAATTTTTTTTAATACTTTTATGAAACAGTAAATATTTTACACTTGCATGCTTTTGAAAGCAATATTTGGACTTCCCCCACAAAAAAATCTAAGCTTTTATTGAAAATTATTTAATAGAAAAATATCCACATAACTTTTCAAGTGACACTCGAGTCAATATATTTTGAATAATAAAAATATGAGAAAAACTATTATATTTGGAATATTTTAAATATATTTTTAGAGATTCGCATGTTGTTTTTGTGTACTTTTTTTCTGAATTTTAAATATAGAGCTTTAGTATTGTTTTATATTTAAATAAATATTGGGTCACCGCCAACCGTGTCTACCAGGGATAAGCAGAATTGAATGGAACAATATGGGGTACATCGTTACAAAATTTAAATTTGGTAAACTTAAGTGAAACCAGTCTACATTAGTATTCTCGCCGTGAACATCTCTGATAAGCTGTAGAGCTGTAGAACAGCCTAGGTTGAAAGGGGATGTTGAGATGCAGATAGCAAGCGGCTCCACCTAAACCAACTTAGAAAGAATTGCATTCTCTGCCATTATATATAGCTTTCATAGTTTTCTACTTACTGTCATCATCTTTGTATTAAACTGGATTTTTATTTCATAGTAAACTTAAACAATTTTAATTAATGAACAGCAAGAGGGATTCAATTGAAAAACACAAATTTTTTTCAAGGAAAATATGCATATCAATTTTTGTTTTTGCATTTTTGTGAATATTGAATTTTTTGCTGGCAAGCAATGCATACGTGTATAGGCATGCATGTGTTCATTAAACTCTTTGTTTGAGTCCATTCAAATGTTAATGGGATAATTTTTCATTTTTATTTGTTGGCCAATAACTCCATATATAAATGGAGTGACTCTCAGTGGAAATTGCATTTGTATGAATAACTAACTGTCATAACGCAACTTTAAACGCATTACTACCTGCATGCATACATATTTTTATGTGTCTTTGCATTTTTCCATGCATTCAATTGAGCGCCTCTGGCTGCGCTGATAAAAAAAAATGCCAAAAAATATTTCCCTTACCGAATTTATTGAATAAATATAAGCGCAATTATGTTTTTTTTTAGTTTTTTACAATATATGCAAACGTACATAATATATATGTGCAAATGTATGCATTTGCATTTTTAAATTTTTTTCGTAAGGGTAACAATGCACGGAACAAAAGCATTAATTCATTGCTGAAACTATCGATTTATTCACTTGTGTTCTTTCCTTTTATTTTAATTTAAAAATGCAAAACAAAATCGGCACTTAAAAATGTCCACGCAATTTTCAGCTTGGCAATTCAAATCCATGCCGCAGGCGATAATGCACGCCTCTCCACCTAGGAATGCAGGCTTGGTGAGTCCATGGTGTTCCAAATCGATTGCCGTGTTCATTTATTATCCCGAGTTTATTACAATTTGTACTTTTTGAAAGTTTTGTGTGAAGTTTTATGCAGACTTCAATACTATGCTACCTTCTGGTGATCTTGTCAGTGGCACTGCCCTTCAACTTTCATATATAATTAATTAGTACTTTTTTTACTAAATTAATACTTTTTTATTGCCTTGCTGTAATATTCACATATATGTGTATGTGTATAATCGTAAATAAATCAATTCAATCAATTGAGACTTTTAAAATTGACAATTTGGTGTCTTCGGTGCAGCTTAGTTGACAATCGAAATGCAGTTTGGAGATGGAATTTTTTGTCATAGCTCTTGTATTTGATATTTCTACTTCAATAAAAAAATCAACCTTGAAAAATATATGTCTGTTATGTGGGAAGTAGACAGAGTTGCAGGAACAACACTGAAGATTTCCGTTCACATGAAAGTAAAAAAATGTATTCTTTTGGATGGTAGCAAGGCATCAGAGTATGAAGTTTCTTAAAGCAGATCGATTGTTGTGAGCAGCTCCCAATATTCATCAAATAAATGTCATTTGATGATTTGTGGACCCTAAATTTATACATTAAAAGCAGACCCGGTCACACGTTGCTCTGGCTTTCCGTATTATATCCAAATTTTCATTCTAACTGGTATTGCAAAAAGCGTTATAAAAAGCGCTAATTAAATATAAGTTTTTGTATTTTTATTATATTATTAACCTGAGTACTTGTTTGTATATGTTGGCCCCCCTTTGCTATTCCAAATCTTTAACGAAAATTTGAATGTTAATGCTTCAACGTGGACGTGTAAGTATAGTTTGAGACCCGCAGCCGCAGAATATTAAAAAAAAAAACAAAGTTAATGTACCACGCACTGTGTATGCTTTTACCCAAATCATACTAAAGAAAGTAGTATTTATAGCTATAGGTATCTCTATAGTCACTGGTCCACTTCTGGGAAAAAAGTATTTAACTAAAACCAAACATCGAAATATGTTTATTTCTTCAAATATATCGATCTAATTCCCTTAAAACAATAATTTCCATTTCAAAGAACTTTAGAAATGAAAAGTAATCCCTCTATCTTACTTAAAAGCCGAATTGCAAGTAAATCCGACCATAAAAACCATTTTTTCGAATTGCTCACTTCTCGATTTTCCCCGCAATCCGACGAAATTTCAAGTCAATCGGTCAGTACCTTTTGGAGATTTACGAGCATAAGATTTTTATATAAATATGACTGTCACTTTTTGTTGAGGTTTTATAACTCACAATCGGTCCAGTGGTTCTTTGTTTATCACTTTTTTTGAAGCAAATGAATGCAACAAATTTCCAATGTTCAATGTTGTCAGTACAAGTAGGCTGTGTCGAATTGAAGCTTTTTTAGGATGGAGGTTGTGCTATCAAAATTGAAAAAGTTTCGGTAGCCTTTTGCTGAGATTAACAGAAACACTACACTTCTTTTAGGACAGTGAATTCAGGAATTTGGAATTAATTAAAATTTTGATTAGACTACACTTCTCTCCGGAAGGTGGGCTTGAGCGAAAACCTCATTTTTGGTTATATTTGCTTGAAATTCTGTAAAAAGGTGGCTTTTTGCGTAGGTAAGTAGGGAAAATATTCCACTCTGCGGGAAGTGGACCAATGTAAATGGAGTTGTATTCTTACAAGTATTGAGTAAATAAATTTATAATAATTAAAAGGCTTTAAAGCAATTAGACCTTAGAAAAAAAATGTCTGGTTGTTTGCTACTTGAACGCTGCTATAATATAACTTGCAGACCAACACGGAAATTGAAACAAGAGAGAATAGTTGTTTTGGGCCGAAGCGTATTTTTCATGACCCTGTCAGTTTTATGAACGATATGCAATAAAATTATATAATTAATTAATTAAACACACCGATCTGCGCTTGGGTAACCTTATAACAGGTTTTATCTTGTATTTATTTCATTTGTCACATATGTATACATATAAAAACAGTTAAATAGGAGACACAGACATATATTTAAGTACACGTATGCATGTATATATATACATGGGCGGATCCAGCTGGGGAAAATGTATCCCAAAAGTTCAAGCTGGATTTTTGTTCTGATATACTTTAGGTATATCAGAAGTAGGATTTTCACTGTAGGGATGTTGTGTACTTGGGATCATTTCTGGTTCCGCCACTAATGTATATGTAGACATATAGTCAATACACGATATTTTTATGCACACACTATAACATATTTTTCATCCTGCATCCGGTAGGAGAACATGAAAATCAAAAGTTAAAAACTCAAAGAAATTCGCAGAAAAAATTGAAAATTTCGCAAAGCGGAATTTTGGAAAATTTAGTCTTTTTGAAGTTAAAAGCCCGTCGTACTAAAAGGAAGGAAAAGTGGATTTTATAACAACCTAATCAAACCAACTGTTCTGAAAGTGTTTTGAAGTAAAAAAATAAGCTTGCGAAGCAAAATTATAAAACCAATTCAAAATAATAATAATTAAAACAATAATTCACCCAACTGGACGAAATTCAGTAGGTTTTCATATATTTTGTAAACGATGAATTTCCTCGGAACTTTTCTTAAGAGATTTTAGTGTGCTTTTTTCGATTACATTACAAACGGAGGGATTGGGAATTCAAACACAAATATATCCACACAAGAGGAGATCGCAAACGGAGAATGGTTTTCTGTTATATAATTTATGTATGACAATTTAATTTAAGTATATATAAAAGAGGAATTGCTTGCTTTAATTGTTAACGCTTCATTCTTTCGGTTTGGAATTGGTTTTTGTCTTGTTTCACCTTGGCTTAACTTATTAGTTCAATTTGCTAATCTAAAACAGCAGTTTTAAAACTCAATTAAGTTAATTACAATGTAGGCAAGTTAATTACAAAAGGGTCTTAAGAAATCCGACAAGAAATTCGGAATGTTCTTTCCAGGTTGTAATAGTCTCCTCAAAACTATTATACGGCAAATATTTTAAATGCAATCTGATTTTTCGAGAAACAAACCTGTTTCAGTTCAATTTCATTTAAATGTATTAATTGAGCACAAGTGTAATTATATAGCATGACAATTTCAAGCATAAATTATCGAAAGTCGAAACCGAAGCAACACCGTTCTGGTGGATCATATGGTAAAGACATTTATTATGGTATAACTCAGTAGGACTCCTTATATTATAAGCAAGCGCCGCTTTTTTCTAAACTTTTACAGGGTATATTTTAGTTTTCTTAGCAAACGAACAAAAAAGTTTTTCGATAAGTATCTGTGAGTACTTAAAAATCTTCTTTCTTCAGCCATATTAATTTTTTAACCATTTATTCAGAAGGCTTGAAATTGGGTCTAAATCCTCAATCAAGTCTCTGACAAAGAAAAGTTTGTTTTAAAAAAAAATCAGATTAAGTTTAAACTGCTTGGCGTATTTCAATTTTGAAAAGATTATTACTGACTGCAAAAAATTTTAAGATATTTGGTATTGAATCACTAAAGTTTATTAAAGAAAGAGTTTAGAGTATTTGAAGAGTTTAGGGTTTAAAGAGTTTAGTTTATGCAAATTAAAAATTTTTCTGTTATATTATTTAGCTCTAACCTCCCATTTTCATGTTCTTCTGCCGGATGAGGAAAGAGAAATATTTTTGCAAATGGTACGGATAATATAAACAGTCCTATGAAGGTGTGTGCACAGTTATTATGCAATTTTTAAAAATGTGTCCAGTTAAAATGCTACTAAATTATTAGTATGGGACATTCACATTTACTTCCGGCTCCGTTAACGCCCTCTTCTGCATTTCAATTTATCGATAGGCGATTTCTTAGTGTTAACCAAATTAGCTTAGTTAGCGGTCGTTTGACTTGGGGTTATTACCAGGTAACTGCTCACTCTCTTCATCCAGAACTAATTAAAAATTAATTAATTGAAACTTAAAATTATTCAAAATTTCAAAATACTAGCCGTGCCCTTTCCATGCGAATTTGTATCTGCGCATTACTGGCGACATAGTGAGAAGTTCTCGTTTTTCGTTACATTTTATATGAGCTTAACAATGTTAAGTAATCACATGAAAGACGAAAAATCTATGTGAGATGCCGCCGTAGTCGCGGTTACATATGCACGCAAAGGACTTATTGAAATTGCTTTACCCACAGCTCATTACCTGGAGTTGACCAAGCTGAAAGCAAATCAGTAGGCAAATCCAACACTCGGAACAGGGCCAATGCCTCCTCCTCATCCGCATTACTGGCATTTTCGGAGACACCATTGGCCGTCGGTCTTACGGATGGTATATTTATAATGTCGCTCGTACTTGTTGCTTCATGCCTAGAATTCATCATTTGCGTCAGATTTGTAGAGAAGTGTTGTGCAGCATGCTAATGATTTGATGAAAAAAAACTAAAGATATTATAATCCTCGTATGAAGAAAAGATTTTTTTACCGAAGTACTTGGGCGGTCTTCTTCTGGAGTCTCTGGAGAGGAATATTGGCATATACTGGATACTGCGCGAGATAACTCTGTTTCAGTATTCGATTCAGCGCCCGAGTCAGTCCCCGATCCACTCCACGTTTCCATATCTTCTTGAATGCCGTTTTCTGCTAGAATTTAATAGAGAGTGACGATTATTTACAAATAGCATTTCGATGTATTGAAATAATATTCTTAGTTAATGTCGAGTAAGAACTTATTTCGTTGTGGTTAGTGACTAAAACCCAAGTGCGGAAGTCAAACTACAAATCACCTTCGAACGGCTATTGAATTTTTTTGCTTCCTTTTGATTTTCTTTCACTGTATTTAATCATATCAACATTTCCAGCTGAGGAAATATTATAGATTTCTTAGCCTACCGGCCCGTAGCACGTACTTCTACTCTTCTACTCGCTCGTATACTACGGCCACGAACAGTCTAAAAATTCACTGGTTCTCGGTTTAGTCGGAGCCAGGAATGTAATTAAATCTAGTATTAGGTTCGAATACCAACAAGCCGTATTTCGAGAATCAGTGAATATTTTGACTGTTCGAGGCAACTGTCGATCCTCCAACCGATGTATTAGCGAGACTGTATATATATATATGTGGCGTACGCTCAAAAATGATTTCAAAAGCAATTGGTGAAATCGTACCCACATTTCTAGAAGTTTACGGGAAGATTTTAAAAAATACCGTGGTGGGAGAATTCTAAAACCTACTTTTTATACTGCTTCAAAGAAAATTTTTGGTATGGAAAAAGATCACCTTTATTATTGCCTTACCGTCATCTGTTTTCTCTTGAGCTGGTATTGCGCTCTTTCTATTAATTCTACTCAGCTCTCTATTGATGTGTGTAGTTTCTGCTCCATCATCTCTTAGCTCATATCTATCCGTGGTCGATCTATCACTCTTTCTACAATGTGATGAGGACACGGACGATGAGCATGACACCAATTTCGGTGTCGAAGGAGCTTTCTTACCGCGTTTGCAGGGTGGCTCAGCAGTTTTTCGAGTTGTCTTCTGTTCGGGTACATACTCTTTCGTATACGACTTATCGCTGAACGAAGTCGATGAAGAGGATGTAACCATTCTACTAGATGTTGTAGATGCCTAAAATTAATTGCCAGTAATAATTTCACGTTTCGGTTTAAATTAGTATTAGGGAAATAAGCTTACTGGTGCCTTCCGCTTTAAAGTTTTGTAATACCTGGAACTAGTCTGAGTACCGTAAAAAAAGTAGAAAAATATGATAATTCGAAAATGCTTTGCTTAAGATAATAAAACTAACTTACAGCAGAAGTAGTAGAACTTGGCTCATTGTCCATCAGATTGATTGCTTGCACGGGTGGTCCACTGCCGGTGGAAGGCTGCGTATTATTGGCGTCAGAGATTGGTTCGCTCACTTCTGTCGCTGGCTACCGTAAGGAAGGTTAGAATGCCAATATCGGCTCAATGACTGTAATTCAATTTAAATTTCAAATTACCTCTTCTGGGGCATTAGCTCCGCTGCTTGCGCCAACTGTAAAAAGGGATACTACAATAGTTTAAGTTTTAAATAAATATTTTCTCACAAACCGTTTGGATCCCATTCCTCATTTGGTTCTCTTTCTAGACATGGTATTAACATGACGGAATTGGGGGAGCCACCTAAGCTATTGTTGTGTATAACAATGCCGACTATTAGATTTGGTCTTTCTTTGTTATCTAGAAACTTGTGGAACTCTCTAGAGTCTATTTCAGTGAGAAAGTATTTTCCTGCCAAAAGTGGATATAGAAACATATCCATCGATCTATTGCTCATTCTAGGTATCCGAGGGTTGTCTCCATTAACTAGCCCATTTAGTAGGCCAAAAACTTCTTCGTAGCCATCGATAAAAAACGGACTATGTGGTAAAAAATATACTAGAGCTATAGATCTGGAATAACTTTTATTAATTTGCAAAATCTTATTATTGAAGTCATCATGTGAATAATATCGAGAAATAGATAAAACATCGCTAATCCAATTGATAATTGAGTTTGTGTGACCCAGTATGTGATGCATTGTTATCAGAGCATTTATGCCTGGCCTTAATACTCGACCTGTCCAAATCACATATGGATTAAGGTCTTTAAATATTTGATATACTCTTGCAGCACCAGTGAACATATCTACCGCAGTAGCAGCCTGAGTCGAAGATACATCAATCACTTGAGGAGGTCGCAGCACTGGCACAAATCTCAATTCCATGGTCCGTGGGGCATTTATTATATATCTTGATCTATTAGCTGGTTCCACTCCCGAGACCCTTACATTTGAACTGAGTTCCTCTACGGTGGATGATGTGGAACTTTCAGAATCACTTGCTAATAGTTTTTTCGGTGGCTTCCAGTTGCTTGCATTAAGTTCGGCCAATCTTTTTTGAGCTTGTCTAGATGTCGATGGTCCCTCATCGTCGCCTGCAGCGTTAACAAAGCTGCTATGCATACTATGAGAGAACTGAGAATTAGAATTTAACTGTGTTACTTCCGCACAGAATGGATTTAATGGGTACGTCATCCAACTACGGTCTCCTCGTATATTAGCTTCTAGTTCAGCGATAACACTTGTGTCCATATTTCTCCAAGCGAACCGTAATGAGCCAAGGAAATGCGAAAAGTTCTCATATGATGTATCGATGGAGAGTCTTTGGCGAAATGTATCGGTCCATATGTCGGGTAGCACAACCATCAGAATCGATTCTTGATCTGCTAAAGTTTGTATCGATGATAGAAGCGATGTTGGGACAGGAGCTATTACATATGGTGTGCCGAATTTTCTAATTCGTTCTTCTTCCATATAATCTGCTCGTATGGTGTAATACTCTAGGCCACGATCTCTGGCTATCAGCTCCATTTCATACCAATGTAAACCTGTCTGGGCTTCAGTGGAAACCAATTCATCACCTCCAACTGTAGTGATCATTCTTTGCAGATTTAACCAGTCGATTTCTTGTTGTCTGGCAAGTCTGTTAAATATTATTGCTAGCTTCAAACGTACAGGCAAAATAGCACAAAATTCCCTCGTAAATGGAAGTATCTGATACTGATTTAAGTCAGTTTGTACGCCAATATCCCAAGTCGATGTTGACAATGGACGCCTACTCAATGACGGGGTTCTAAATAGAACGGCAGGAGGGACGTCCGTGCTTCCTCTTCTAGTTATTTCGTACTCCTCCGATCCCAATCTTCGCATACTTCTTGAGGGTCTTCTCGTCTGGTCAAATGTCGTTGCCCTGGGAACGCGAACAGGCGGTGGGGCTGTTGAGTGTGCTGACCGCTCACGTTCGACGTCAGATGATGATGAGGCAAAATTCTCAAGACGTTCGATGGCATGTATAGTCATTGGATGGATTCTTTGCTGCTCAAATAGCACCGGGTTAAATGAACGTGAGGAAGGCATTTCGACTATGAAAATCTCATTGGCTGGCAGAAACGGTGCTGTCGATGCCGAATGTCGCTGGCTACTACGTCTTGGTGGAGTGGACTCATTGTCTGGACCTTCACGTTCCGGTGTTGGCTTGTTATTCATGGCTCTGGGGAACCTTTCGTCGTTATATTGATAAAATTCTTCTAATTATATTTGCAGTAATAAAAGCGTTGTTGTTGTGCACTTATTATAATAAAATTGTATTATATATTTATTTTGGTACGCACAAGAGGGCGTTTTGATGGACGCCGTTGTAAACATATATTTGTTTATTATTTATGCTTCGATTTTCTTCCTCACTTAGTCTAATACATATTTATACATATGTATGTAGAAATGTAAGCAAGTTATAGAAAACAGAAAAAGGCTACTTAAATAGAGCGAGTTAAGCGCTATTTTCCTGATCCTCTTTTGATATCTCTTCTTAGCTAACGGTTTTTTGTTTGTTTTCTTTTTTTATTTTTAATGATTGAGCGGTACTAATTATGGACATATATATATATTTCTAAAGGCACAAATATACATATTTATATATATTTACGTGTTTTTTTTCTGTAGAAGGGTTGTTCTAAAATTTAAAAACTAAAATACAAATAATTTTCTTTTATTGAAATTAACATTATTACGTTTTCATCCCTTTGCAGGCAGCTGTATGCTCTCGGTCTTCTCATTTGCATGGAGCTCGTTTCGAAATTCTCGGCAAGACAATCGCTCGTTTTATCACAAGAAAATTCCATTGAAAAGCGAAGTAAGAATTCAACTGATTAATTTTTATTCAACTCTTTCTGTTGCGCTCAAAGGTTTTGTAATTCTAGTAATCAACCTCTTTTGATTGTGATTTAATTATTATACTATTATTTTTATATTTTTGAAAAAATAAACAAAATTCCTGTTATGTATAAAATATGTCTTTTAATCTTAACATATGTATGGACGAAAATAAAATTCTCCCAAAAATAAGTTTCGATCCGCTCCAAAAATACGTAGCTTCTTAATATTTAGCAGTTGTTTTTACTCAGAACTGAGCGCGATACCCTTCTGAGGCCGATGTGCTATGCTTATCGTCATTCGGTTTAAAAATGGGAAATTATTGGGAGCAGATCTAGTACTCAAATTGTTGCTGTCTTCGCTTAAAATTGGTTTTAAATATTGAAGAAGATTTCTGATATCTCCGAACGCCCGCCAGTGCAAGATGCCACATTGCACGAATGCAATTCTCAAGTGGCCAATAAAGTGGTGCGGCTAAAGTGCGGTGGAAATTATCTTCTTATCAGATCATATATCAGCGTATGCTCATCCAGCTTTCATTCGTGAGAGCACTGGTGCTACACTACTGAAGAGAAGAACCCAGCCTCATTACTCCACTTACATAACCTTAATCTACTCTGCAGGAAATAACAAAATATTGGTAGAAATTCGCAATTTAATGAAACCGCCATATAGTCCTCATACGTTCGACTTCGCATTCCTTCCTCCTCCATATTTTGGGCAACTGGTATCAACAGTATCGGGTCATTCATCTCTTGTTTTCGCTGTTCGCTGGGCGGCAGTTGTAAATACCAAGTGAAACCAGGTCGCGCTCTAACTCATAATTTCAACGTAGTGGACGTCTTGCTCTTATGATTCTATCAGCGGGTACTTTATCGAATACTTTCAAAGCAGGAGTCCTAGCAGTTGTCTCTTTATTTGCTGAGGCATCTCAATGTCATCGTCCAACTTGTACAGCTTATCATTCCATAGTTTTTGATATTCACCGTTGCTAATGCACAAAAGACCGTAAGTCGTTCGCAAAGCCTTTATCCCATAGACTACCAAGACGGGAATGGTGATGGACTTGTGGAGTTCGAGCTCGATTCTAGCTTGTCGAGAGGTCTTTATTGTACGTATGTTTCTATTACTTTGTACAAATTTATCAATAAAAAGGTGCTTTGATTACTGCAGTTTTAAAATAGCAAGCAAATTTTCTATGCAACCTGAGGACAGGTTTTGTTGTTGTATTTTTATTTTTACTCTTTACCAATTTATAACATGTACAAATCAAAACATAAACCATTACATATAACATTTATACAATAATTATTTGACTTGTCGATATACTTTCCATTATTCAATTATTCACCCTTTCAAAACATTCGTCAAAATTTAAATACTGAACACTGCTGTAAGTATCTTGAAATCTCACCTCTTAAAATAGATTTATTTTTTAAACATTTTCTTCGTCGGCTCGTTTTATTTTTATCGGACGATCTTGTCAATTGCGTTATTTTCACTTTTAATGCAAATTCCTGCTGTTGTATGCTTATTGTAATTAGATGGTTTCGATTTTTAGTTATGAAAATGTGCAACAAATTTTATTTTGAAAGATTTAGAGTAAATATAAACCCATATTTTTCTATTTTCAAATGCTTGCACTTGTGCCCCTGTATCTCACAACGTTGTTCGCTTATCAGAGGAAACGGCAACTGATTCTCTAAGTGTATTCTTTCTGCTATCTTCGAAGATCCTCTGCATCTTGAATTTTGCGTACATTTCATTGACTATTTCACTCCCATAACCAATTATTATGCCTTGTCATTGTCGATCTATCATTCACTCGAGAAGCTGAAGCTGAAGACGACGACAATGAAGATAATGTTGGTAGTGCTTTGAAATGAATCTTAGTTTCTCACTTTCTTACAGTCTTTGTTAGTGTTTTCCACTAGCAATATTTATGTGTACATCTACATCCATACTCGACTTATCGCCTTCTTTCATAGTCGGTGGAGAAGATATCGGACACGCCAGTTTGCTATGAAGCTTAATTCATTTAACAAAGTTGGGAACGTACGCTCTGAAATAGATTACATATAGAGAAGAGAGTATTAATTAAATAACACAGTTGTCTTTTAAAATAAAATTTGTATACATATATGTACTACTTAACAACTGAAGAATTAGAGTTCTTCGGTTACTTACATTTTTCTGTGGATTATAGTGCAGAATGTTCTTAGATCAGCCGCAGATTTAACATCAGTTTGTCCAGAACGAAAATATATCGTCTACATTGTTAGTTACATTAATGGTGCGAGTTCTAAAGATGTATGTGCTCCTTCTGATGCGTTGCAGCATAAAATTAATATTTTTTTAATGTGAGTAGTTCTTGAAATAATAATTAAAGTTTGAAATTTGTTTTGCGTTTTAGTATTATTTCTTTTCTGTATTTTCTTTTGTATTCTGGTAGATTTGAATTGTCAACTGTTTTTATGATTCAAATGGATTCTTTGATAAGCCCTCATTTTACTTCCTTTTTCCTTTCCCCTTATTCTTTCGACGCCGCTGTTTTGTTGCTTGTCCAGCGTTTGCTGCTGGGGTCTGTTGGGGTCTGATATGAGTTTGGGCATTACTACTTTCACTAGTTTCTAGCAACGATATATCGGCTGGCAAATTAAGTGTTTCATTGGCTGAACCTAATCTCGGTGCACGCCTCGAAATTTTCATATTTTGGGATCTATTAGAAGATTGTGCACTACTGTACGCTCCGAGACGGGCAGCGTTAGATGTCGAAGGTGTATCATCAGTTATTTGTTCCGGCGATTTATTTTTTATTCCTTCTGCAGTATCATCATCTACTTGCATAACTTCTGTTACCTGAGGGTTGGATATATCTAATCTCTGTAAATCTGTTGTACTTTCATCAGAAAAATAAATTGAAAACAAGCACGCTAGACTATCCACTATTCTTCTAATTGAAAACTCGCTACGCTCCCCGATTTGTGGCAATGTGGCTGATAGCAATCTATCAATCCTTTCCCTTTCAAATGTTACATGTTGTGCGGATCCCCGAACGTATATCCGCATAAATTGTTGAGGCATCGGTGTAGATGGAATACGAGACAAAAATAGCCTGTTGCCGACTAAAGTAGTAGATGGAAATCCGGGCACTGTTGATGTTATTCTGTAATCATCATTTAAAATAAAAATGCTAAGCTCTTGCGATTGTTCTTCTAAAGATGTAAAGTCCATATTTTCAGATCCAAAAAATGTGGCATTTGTACTAGTCCTTATACTATTGCCACGACGATCGTTGTGTTGTGTTACACCTTGTGGTCGCGTAGGTGATATTCTTATTATCGTTTGGTATTCGTTTAGACACAAAACTGTGAATCGTGACAACATCGTTATTATTATTGGTTCATTATTAAATGTCATGGCTAAAAGCTCGCGGTTTTGAATAGGTATTCTTAAGCTGGGGATAGGACAACTGGATCCTAACCATGCGGTTATGTCCGGTGAAATGAGTTCTCTGGACAGATTTTCTTGTGTCGCTAAGCGGGAAAGGATTCCAAATTCCATGGATATGGCATGTGTAGATGGTAGCGATAAACGTGGAGCTCTTGTTTCAAATGCAATGGGTATGGATTGTATGAACTGTGGCGATAAACGACGAAGTCTTGTTTCACCTTGATACGTGGAGGATTGTTCCCACCGATGAGCAATGCTTTCAGTTAGCACTCGAGAAGTTGTTTCATGAATCCTGGGCACTGTTCGTGGGTTTCTCCGTGGGAAATCTTGAGCGCGGAAATGTGGTTGGCTTACAAAAGTTTGGTCCACACTTGAAGTGTCTCCTGCACTTACCACAACCGTCTTGTAATCAGGCCTAGTAAGATGTACCCGAGAAACCATATTTCGGTGTTGTAATTGGTTACTCCATGATGAATACCTTCGCCTTCTTCTTCGAGTATGTGGTCGCGCTTGTGGTGCCTGATATCTAGCTCGCCTTGTCGGAACAACCGCGGGAGATGCCGCGGCAACGCAGTGAAGCTGAGCAGTAGTGGTTTGAGTTTGCGAACGAGGCTGATATGTGGAAGCTGGAAGCTCTGATGTATTGGCCTCTGATGTCTCAGAGAGTTGGTAATCGGTAGCATTGGCTGGGTCGTCATTACCATTGGTACATGCAACATTATCCCAAATTGTGACCTCCAATTGGCTCATATTTTCGAGTTCTTGCTCTTCATCAGTTTCCTGATACAATCGTTCAGAAACTTGTCGAAGCGTATGCGGGAGAGAACATGTGGATTCTAATGTGTTACTATCCATAGATGGAGTTTCATTGGCGTCGGTGACTTCGGTGGAGCTTATGTATTCTGTTAGCGGTAGTGGACTCGTAGAATCCCAAGACCGACTTTCATCTCGCATATTACCTCCAAATTGTTCACTGTTGCTTGAAGCAAACTGTGCATTTGTTGAAAAATCTGATTGTGTGTTTACTGATGTTCGGTCATCATTTTCCCCAACTGAAGACTGTACGGTTATTAGTAAGTGGTTCCTAACTGGTTCTTCAATCGTAAACTCGTTGGCGAGCACAATTATGTTTAATTGATTATCATTGATCCTGTTAACGAGGAAATTGTAATTCGAACTACTACTATGCGTTCCTTCAGCAGAGTCACTACCTCCTCTCAGAGTCACTGATTGCGTCTGACCTTCATTGGAAGTCTGATCTTCTTGAAGCGTTTGAGTTGAAGCATCTAAAGTTTGGGGCCGCATCGCCTGCGCAGAGCTGGAGATATTTTGTGGACAACTAGAATCCAACTGATTGGAGTCATTTCTTGAGGCTTTGGAGCCGAAAGATGTTTGAGGTTCATCAAAAGTTTCGGCTCCTCTTTTAGGTCGCAATGCAGGGGAAACCTTAACGGCTTTCGTTTCCCGTGGAGGATATTTTTTAGCTTGGGCAGATTTAGAGGTAGATGGAAGTTCCTCCAGTGAAAATGTTGCTCGTTGAGTAGCGTCACAATCATTTCGCCTTGAAATGGAAGACGGTTGTGCCGAAGAAGAACACAATTTTTGAGTTTCGTATGTCATTGAAGTGGAAGCTCCTTGAAGTTTATTAGAATCAAGTTTGCTGCTTTCGCTCTTCTTTTCATTTGAATCTTCCTGAGGTGAACCTTCAGTCTGCTGTGTGCTGGTAGACTTTTGAGGTGATTGGCAACTACTTGAATGTGGAGTTGTATTAGAATCAGTTGCAAGGCTTCCGCTTGGATGTTCTTGATCGCTCTGATCTGCATCGTATCTAAGACTAACATTGGCAAGCATTTCCAAAGCAGTTTGGTAAATACGAGCGGTTTGGTCTGAGGCAGCATCCGCTGGGATTCCAGTATTATAAGAATCTCCGGAATTTGTGTCACTTGAATGAACTTCTGATACATTGTCGGCTTCATCAAAATCTTCTTTTGGGGGGCGATGACAATGTCTTCTGCGTAGAGGTGAAGCAGTGCTGGGGGTTGACGGAGGCTCCTGCTCTTGAAGCCTGTCCATTATTGGGCGTTTTTTACTCATTTTTCTTCGTTAGTTTTGTATTGATTAAACAGAGGCACCTATTAAGCTCCGACCATTTACACTTGACGAAGACTATTTGACAAGAAATCTAAGTATATATTATAAGAATTTACTATTTTAATTATATTTCTGTTTACAAATAACTTTCTAAAGAAGTAGTGAGTGGAACGAATGCCTAGAGAATTAACTGCTAATCACTCTTTCTCCAATATCCAAATATTTTCTTTTAACTTTTCACTAACTGTTTTTTTTTTTTTTTTGTCTTCTCACAACCTCTTTTTCTTACCTCATATCCCGAAAATATTTGCACTATGAGTTTGCATTCTTCCAAACTTGTCTACACATGTTATTCACTAATGTAAACATCTAAACATATGTTTACATAAGGGCGAGTTGAATTTTAAGGAAAATACTTTTTTTTAATTTATCCCTATTTGACAAACTTTTGGTCATACTGGCTGGGTGCTGTGCCTTACATAGACTTGTTGGTCTATTGCAGAGCCAAATGGAGTCTTAGTTTGATTTGACTTATATTAGCCGGAACACTTTTTGCGAGGCTTAAACCAGCGCATTGCCCTGTGAAGATTAAAGCTTGCAGACGTGGTCTAGAATAGGCCTAGCGAAATGAAAATGGCACTCTAGCGTCTGCCTTACTAAAGGCATGCTACATCAGTGTGAGACCCGTCTTGAGACATATTTTGGCATTATAAATATAGCACTAAGCCATTCAAATGACCGCTTCGAGGTAATTTTCGACCACTTTTTGGCACATATTTGGCGGTACCTCAGCCATAACTTGACGAATGTTGGCTTGTAAGTGCCCAAGCGTTAAAGATACATCCGCATAAACAGGGTCATTCGCTTAGCTCCACAAAAAAAGCGCAACGATGTCAGCCCCTAAATCTCGGAGACCAGTTGATATCGTCAAGACGAAAGATTACGAGCCGGAAAACTTGTGTAAATCGATCAGTTTCAGGTATACATCCCGAAGTGAAAAAACAATTTAAGGAAGTCTAACCATAAAAACGATTTTGGAATTGATTGATACCAAGCCAACTTCCTGAAACAAGCAGTAAACGGAGAAAGAGTAATTTTTCTTTTCTTTTTGTTGGTCTTGGACCAACTGGAAATTGATTAATTTCTACAGTATTTTCACGTTTAGAAATATCACTCAGAACGTCATTTATAGTGTAGGCTTCCCGTTTAAATACAAAACCAATTTTTTGGATTAGCTTCTATTCGTCCTAAATATGAGCCGACATGATTTGATAAATGTCCCATTTAGAAGTACCTCTATCCCAGCGCCACCTGCTGGGTCCTTTCGTGAATGACATATTTCTCTTTAGGTTACTGTTTTGTAGTCCATCGAGCTTATAAAATATACACAAAGCTTCACAAGAGGAAGACCAAAAGGTACTTTTACGACTAGTCGAAAACGGCTCGACGACTTAGCCAGACATAGCAGGCCCACCATAGACATTTCATATTTATTTCGTATAAAGATTTAAAGGATGGATATATGTATAGGTTTTTTTCAGAAAAGAGGGCAGTGCAACGTTCTTCTGTGGCTGTTTTGGCCTAACTGAAATCATTGTCATTACATGCAGTTTGTCGTTACTTGTTTGGTCAGATCATCAATACAGGATTTGCTTTCATATATGCAAAGCCCCAAAAGCTAATAATAGGAATGATTCCTTTAAGGACAATTTTATTATTTTATTTGAAGTGATTTGAACATAGTTGAGACACTTTGTTTCTGCTAATTTAACATTTTCAAAAGTTTTGTTTTACAATGCTAAATCGTAGTTATGTACACATATACATATCAGTGGGGTTCGTAATTTGTCTACCAATACTATCATAATAATAAAAGATGTTAGATTGATCGTTCACTTGGTGAGTTTTAAAATGACAAAAAAGTATGAATACCATGAAATTAATACAAAGAGCATGACACACAACGACATAACACGTACTAAAATTTAAGATAACATTGAGAAAACGAGAATTATTTGGCCCGTTTGGTTAAAAAATACGTTTGCCTTAACAGCTTCTGATACTCCTTCCTTAAAGCTGGTTGCTTGAAGAGATTCGTGTTGTCTACAGGCTCCGTCCCATAGGCTGTAGATGGCTGGAAATTGGGCTGATGCATCCAAGCAGTTTCTTGCAGTGAAGCCAGGGACTCACATGCACGCCGTGAAGTCGTTGGTCCATTATCGGACGCAGTAAGACTTGGAATTTCGGGATTAGCATTACGGTTTTGATCACTGATAAAATTACTTGTAATATCAGCTTCGGGGTACTCGAGTCGTTTTTGAATTCTGCAGTCTTTTGGAGATCCATTTCTCCATTCTGCATTGATGGCACTATATTCCAGTGCTGCTAATTCATATTCGTTCAGTAAGTCTTGCGGTAGGGAGCTGTAGACAGATTCCTCATTGATTGCCCCATCGTCATACAATCCTTCATCCAGTTCTTCCCCTTCTTCTCCTTCTTCGTCTTCTTCTCCTTCTTCTCCTTCTTCCCCGTCTTCTCCTTCTTCGAACTCCTCTTCATATTCTTCCATATCTTCTTCTCCCGTCAACAGTGAATCTGGCGTCAAAAGTGAACAGTCCAGAGACATTCCATCGTTTTCAACATTCACCACATCTGAATTCGTAAATATATGTACATATTAATTTTATTATAATGACATAGCACAAATGTTAGCAGTTGCTTACCAATTTCAAGATTACCGCTTTCGGAGGCAGTTTCAGAAGCTTGATTTTCAGGTGCATTGCTATTGCTATGCGGCTTTTCTTTATTTTCCTTAAATAAGTGCTTCTCAATCGCACAGATTTTGTTGAAAATTTCATGGAATTTTGAACCTTGCGACAGGCGTTGTCTTAAACGTGGCGGTGAGTCTCGCCCCGGTGATGGATAGTGTGAAAACTGACTATCGTTTCTTTTCATCTTAGGGCACGTCCTTGGGAAACTTGCTGACAACTTTATTTAATGTTTTTGCTATTTATTGCTATATTTTCTTGGAACGGTGATTCCTTCTTAGGTTGTAATATTTTTTTCGTTTACTTCTGTTGGCCTTCTATGTGTTTCTTAGTTTTTGGCGATTTCTGCCCAATGACACTTATGTAAGTTACCGCGCTTGTTTGTTTTTATGTATTCATCTCTATCTCTATCTCTCTCATTTCCCATTTGCATTTTGAAGGTTATGAATAAATAAATTATTATTTTTACTTTATAACACAGTGCAAATGGACATATAACAAAGGTACGGTGGCGAACTCTACAATAAAAGCTTCGCATTCCAAACAAATTGAAAAGAAACCAAATTGCCAGAAACGGTATAATTGTATTTGTTTCTTTCCATCAGATTCCGCTTTGAAACCAAATAATCTATAAATCTATCGATCTCCAATAGGAAGATTTCTCTTTGACTATGTTTTCCCTTTACCCACAGCACACGTATTATTCCCTCTCGCGCTATTCTCGTAATTGATAGTATGAAATTTTTAATGAGTACCGAGCAAAATTCACACAAGGAGTATGAAGTATACAAAAACAAAAAGCTCGAGTATTATATTATGCGATGATTTCGCCGCCATTAATTTCGCTTTGGTGAGTATCCAAACTAATTAATTGAGACATTTTTAAAATTAAAAAAGCTGCAGAGTGGAGAAAATTGGTTTACGTAAAGAACATTTTACTTCAGAAACCTAAGAACTGTTGATACAAAGCACTGGGTCATTTGACCGAAGATGGCTGCTTGAACTGAGAATCTAAACTCTACCCATCTTCTATACTACAATTACTGTTTTGTCGCTTGCTTTTTTTTAAGCTTAAACATTTATGAACTTCTACTAAAAGTATTCGGAAATTTCGAAAAGTACAACTTCTCCAGCCTGCTGAATTCAGTGGCATTAACTGGAGATAGCGAGACTGAATTTTCAACCTGAAGAAAAACAAAGCGAAAAGAATCCATGACATACCGACTGACGAAAAGATTGGGCCTTATGAGTGTGGCATCAAGCCTGGGAAAATTTACCATTGACCGCATAATCCCCATAGCTAAAATTTAGCAAAATTGCTGCTAGAAATCCCAAAACATACATTCCCATAGCTGATGTTCAAAACACCTGCGAAATCACGAAAAGAGACAACTTTTTCTTAATTTTGAGTTCTTATTTTGCGGCTGTGTGAGCAGAGCTGAGCGACATCAAAAGCTTTCTCATGATCGTAAAAGACATCTCCGATCGCTTCGATATTAAACGAGGTTTCTTTAGCTCAATTTTATTATCGGTGTCAACAACTACACTATTATTAGAAATAACGGTGCATTCCAACTTCTTTTTAATTTGCAGGAAGTTGAAGATCAAAGTTACCTCTGAACAAACAAAGGCGAATCTTTTAAAGTTGCTTTCATTGTCGGAATTAGAGAGCTTCTCTAGCAACTGCTACGCTTCTCAAAATGAGAGAAAATCCTCCAGCTTCGAAATTTTTCAAAAGAGTAACAGCTAATGAAGCCAAGAGAAAAGAAATATCCCCATTTCGTTTGAACGATCAGGTGGAGGTTCGGTATCTCCGATTGATGTAAAATAGCTTGAAAAAAAAAACCAACGGCACGCTTTTTTTTGACACCGCGTTAGCGGTGACTACGGTGTCGAAAAATAAATTTTCATGAGTTTACCAAAGTGAGAAACAAACGATAGATACACCTTCACTATGGCTATTCCTTGTAATTACAGAAATTTCGATTTGAAATAATTACTAAAATCCTTTAGATTAAATAGGGCCCTCAGCTCGAGCTTTCTGTCAACATCAGCAATCGATTTGCGAGTATCAACCATTGATATGCTTTCCAATCGCATGCCAAATTAACCTCAATTCTGTCTTTTATTATCGAATTACGGTTAAGTGATTGTCGAGGCAAAAAATTTTTTAGATTTACACCGGTGTTGGTTGTTGTGTTATTATGTATACATTAGCTAGCTCAGCTGCGAAAAGCTCAATTATTTGTCTTTGACCAGCATTGGAATTTATCATGCGCAGACATGCGATGTGGTCGAAAATCGCTTGGGTATCGCTAAGCTGGATCGAGTATGTACATACGAGTACATACCTACGTATTTAATTATTTATTTGCTGTTATTAAACTTGCTGAGAATTGCTCTTGCAATTGTTATTGTTGTTTTTATTTTCGCTGTGCCCATTCATAAATATTTACTTAACATTATTAAATTTAATTGACTTGTTGCACGCGCGCGCGGACGCCTCGCTAGGTGTTGAGAGAGGGCCTGTGAGCGGTCAGCGTATTGGTGAAAGCCAAGCAAACGGAAATCGCTAAGGGAAACAAAAGCGCAAAGGATAATTTAACACTTATATATATCCAAATACTTATATATGTAAAGCTCAAATGGTGAGTTAAAGGCTGCAGATTTCTGAGCGTGTATCTAATGAAGGGCAATTGTGTGGCACAACATGAAATCCGGCGCGCCAACAACAGCTACTGCGACTGCGACAGTGCGAAATGCGAAATGGAATAATCTTAAATTACGACGAAACTAATCGCATGTATCCGGAAAATAATTCTGCGTCACAAGACTAACGCAAACACAAGCACACAATTCCATAACAACGGGCATACGAAGGACCTTGCAAAAAACATCTAAATACGCGTTCTTATGTGTGTGAGTACTTGGAATTAACACGAAATCAAAAACAACATGCAACATGCAACATGGTGTGTGTGGCACTCGTTTACTTTTGGCGTTTTTGAGGTTGCCAGATACCCAGGATTTAATTAAGCCTAATATGGGTCACGGCAACTCGTGATCACCCGCACACAACGCTGCATTGCAAAGACTCCAGCCAGCGCAAATGTGTGTTTGTGTATATATATGGGGAAAATGCGCTTAAACTGCTGTAATAACGTGTGAAACATGCCACAAATTAATTTAACTGTCTGATTATAATTTTTTGAGTAAAGGAGGAAAAATTAAAAAAAAAAATTGAAGACTAGGTAAAAAGACTAAACGAATTTGTGTTGCGCATGAGAATTGGGTCTGTGTTGGATATTCTGGACACTCAAAAATAAAGTAAACTAGTAGGGAAGACTAAGTTCGGGTCACTTATGATATACTCGGTTGATATTGATAATAACCTTCCGCCCCCTTTTTTGTCTGTGTTGTCATGTTAGTATTTTATGGCAGCTGCTGAAACTATTTGAGACCATTACGTCTACGACTTTAGTCTAATTAAAAAATGCCTTAAATATTCAATAAACATATTTAATATTGAAGCTGGAGACCGTTTTTTATGAGCAGCCTATACTTTAAGTCAGAAATGCACTCGGAGGGGTTGCCGAGGGGCTACCGAAAGTACAAAATTTGAGTTGATATTTTATTTAAATAAATTTTCTATATCGTATAGTATTTCAACCCTGGCCTACCCGATGATAGTACGCAATATTAACCATTTAGTTACCACGGTCTAACGGTCGTTACTCTATATTGGTAGTGAAAGGGTTAACATTTACTAACATAAAGTTAAACAGCCGAAGCCGTTACCTTGGCAACCATGAAATCCGCATTTACGCCAACCACAAGTTGACATAACATCTCAATTCTCTATAAGTTAATGACTCTGCACTTGCGAAAATAAATCCCCTTAGGAAATTACTAAATTTGTACTTTTGTACTTATATGTTGTAGATATAATAGAGTTGGTCAAATATCTTCAGAAAATATTGGTTCTAAAGAAATTTGTTTGCAAATCGATTTCAATTCCAGAACTAATTAGGTAAGATAAACATCTCAAAAGCTAAACAGATCTTGTCAGAAAACCTTTAAAAAGCATATCAGTAGGTTCATTCAATTTAAGCTTTTCTTACTTCTTTATTTATTTATTTTAATTTCTCGTTACAAAGTCGTTTTGTTCAAACGTGCTAGTCCTCCAGGGTTCACTTATAAGGCATTTGCCACAAGCCATCTCTTCGACATTGATATGAAGCTCTCACCAAGTTACATTAACAAAATCAGTGATAACAACAATAACAAAAATTTAACCGCTGCAAGCCGCTCAATCTCAGTTTGCTTCCTCTCATCGCGAGCCTGATTTAGTTCGATATTGTGTCTGCTGGTACTTGAATTGTGCGTGGCGAGGCGAAGGCGAGCGAACGCAACGTAAAGCAACAGCAGCTGGGAATCTAATCGCCATTTTCCATCATCAGTCATGAAGTTGTGACGACAATGTGCTGTGACAAAGACAGTAAAAACAACAACAAGAAACCAACCGCAGAGCTGCTTGTCCTGCCTCCGACCAGAGTTGCCTTCGCCGTATCATCATCATTTGACACCTTTCCGCCTACTTAAAGCAATTGGAAAAGCAGTACAGCTGCTCATGCTATGGATCTAACTGCGTTGAGTGTATATATCTGTATGCATGTACGAACAACAGTATTCAAAATCTTGCTTTTTAAGCTTATTAAGTTCGGCATTAACCGCATTAACTATCTCCTTTCCTATAATTTTCTTTTTTTAATTTTTGGAAATAACCAGAAATCACAAGGTGCTATATCCGAGGAATATGGTGCTGAAGGTAATTCTTCGATCCCTAAGATCGCAATAAAATTACTCGTTGTTTAAACAATTTGCGATGGAGCGTTGTAACGATTAAAAAAATAGCGCCGCAAGTCCTCTTTCTTCCTGTTTTCCAACAAATTTTTTAAAACTTTTGATAAGCACACTTCGGTGTATCATTTTGCAGTTACCGTCTGACCCATTTCCAGTGGAATAGCAGCTCCGGTTTTGAAACAAGTGAAGTGAACTGACATTAATACTTTTGCTATTGAGTTTTGTTGTCTAGATTTTACGGGTGGGCTAGCTCCTTTTGGGCTCCATGCCATGGACTGCTGTTTGGTTTCTGGATTGTACTTACTTTCCAATGACGTCATCAGGGGAAGATTTTGGTCGACCTTCTCGGGGCTCGTCCTCTGCGGACGGTGCAGTTGTTTTATTACACGGCGAATTTCTGTGGAATTTCGGCCAACCTATCCTCAGCTATCTTGCGTTTTCTCATCTTCAGTTTAGCCGATCATTCTGAAATTTAAAAGAAAGACTAATATAGTATTTTCAAAAGAACTGACTGAGCTGTTGTTAATCCCCTTGTTGCATTTATTTGAAAGGAGTTGGAGCACCTTATCACTAGCACAGTAATTGCTTTGCGGAAAAGGAGACAAAAATATATCTGTGGATATTTTAAGATGCATCACTTTAAATGTTGCTTCCAAAAGAAGCTGTAGTTATACATTAATTAAGTCCACTCTTAGA